TTCATAACTCGGGAACCAAACATCGAAATGACTCGAGATTTTTTCTTGTGACTTATAACACTGATTTCTAAAACATATTTGAGAAATTCCTTTATGCGATCTATAGTTTAGATTTTGATGTTTTGATGACGTCATGTGAAAACCAGCAATATGGTATTTAATAATTATTTAACATTCTCCTGCTTTTTCATTTGTTTTTAACTTAAAATTGCTTTTGTTTGTTTGGCATTTCAGTGAACTCATGCGTTCTTCGAGGAGACTTGTTTAATGCAGCTTTCATCCTTGTTTGCCACATTGCACAAGTATTTGGACGTGAGGTAAACTTTCACGGTTGCTTATAAAGGATCGTTACAACTTGCCTTGCTATATACAACACCAGAACCAAACTATTCCCTTTTATTTCTCTAAAGTCTCTTTCCTTTTTTGAATATTTTTATTACTTTAAACAGTTTCTGAATTACCATTACAATAATGAAGGAAGAGAGAGAGGGAGGGAGGGAGGGAGGGACAATAAATGACTAGTTGAAGGACCACATCTTTGCAAATAGTTTTAGTATTCTTCACACTTAGCTAATGAATGAGTCATGGTTATCATTATAGGTTATCCTAGAAATAGCCCGATCACATGAACTAAGCAAAGCGTTTATGACGCAATGGATAGCGTCACACATTCCTGAGAGTGACCACTCACGGACATTCTACTCAAACCCTCAGTACCCACCAAACCCTGCAACTGTTAACCTGTTGCTCGCCCAGTTTTATACCAGGGGACCTTTCATGACAAGGTATATTCACTGGATTATAGCTGTCACACAAATATTTATGTCACATCAGATCACACATTCTCACTATTTTTTTCTTGTAACATTCGTGACTTCATCATTAAACATTATTGTGCGTATTTCCTTATTATTAGTAGGCGTTCTTACCATAATGGCTATCACAACCTTTTCTTTTATGACATGGGGTCACATTCTCGCGATATACTCTGTAATGCATTCCTTATCATAGATGCTCTTTGCACATAGCTAACAAAAGGGGTTBTATGACATCAGGTCACCCATTCTCACAATATACTGTGTAGTGCATTCCTTATCATAGGTGCTCTTAGCAGATGGCTAACACAAGGGGTTTTATGACATCAGGTCACACATTCTCACAATATACCTTTCATATAGTCATCATGATGTTGTTGATATATACGTCACAACTAGTGAGTCTGATTATTAATCTAAGTTAGTTTACCAAGATAAGGCAGAAAGTCTTTATTCAATAATTTACTTGATTTATTCATTCTTTTCAGTGACGCTCGTTGGGACGACTTGTGTGTAAATGTACCAGTAGCAATGCATGAAATGCTCAAGTCGTGGCAGTATGAAAGCCATACCTGTTCGTCAGACACTATACAGGTTGGTCCATCCTAATTCAACCCACCAACTGATATATTAAAAATAACGGGCCACAAGTTTATAAGTGTTTCACTTTTAGGTGTTATCCTCTTGAAAAAAAAAAGAAAGATTTTTACCATAACTTACAATTTTCTCACGCCCTGATTGGTAATTTTTTTATTATCAATAAGAGGACAGACAGATAGAGCTGACGTCAACGAGCACACGCTCTTTTCGTTGGTTGTTTTGATCACTAAAAATGAGAAGTTTTTATCGGCTACGCCTCGTGCATCCACCCTACTTTGACAATGTGATGACGCATTTTATCGTCAGACACATAAAAAAGTGATGTCAATTTTTATTTGTCAATTTGCAATATAAAGACTTGACAATGATAATGACAACTGTTTTTATCTAATGTCTGGAACACGCCTATCTCAAGGGCGGATCCAGCCAAAATTTTAGGAGAGGCTAATTGAGTTTAGTGGGGGGGGGGGGGACTAATTGAGTTTCTTCCGTCAACACATTGGAAAACAATAGAAAAAAGCATCGTTTTTTTCTGCTGAAGGGGGGGCTTCAGCCCCCCTTTGCCCCCCCCCCCCCACCGGATCCGCCCTTGTATCTTATGCATATATTTTATCAAAAGAAACTGTGCGAGAGCATAAAATATGAAGTGCCTGCGTGGGCAATCTGTGTATGCTGCTGGTGTTGTGGGTACAGTCATGAGCTGAGAATGGAACAGCGTGCCTATTACACAGGGGAAAGATCTGAAACTGGCTCGTCACAGTTTGGGTAAGTTACCTTGACAACTCTCATCGCTATGGTAACAGATTGACACGTGCTAATGAATATTTGATATAATTATTTCAGGTTACTACAGTTTCTTCTAACTCCAATAAATGCCAAAGGAATGCCGCAAACATTTACTGACAGGTATGACAATTGTGGTTGTCGGACAGCCATTATTTAAAGATGGTCAAGACGTATTAACCACGGAGTTATCTAGAGTTATTCTCATGCAGCTTCTTTTGGCATTGCGAAAAATATTTATGTCATAGATTACTTAAGAATTTGGTGCAGCAGTAAAGTGCACTGTAAGGTTGGACCACAATAAAGCATCCCATTTGTGTTCCCTCAGCTTTCCCATGATACATCATTATATCCTTGTCCTTAACCCAAGAGATATACTTCAACCCGTCCGTTAATCTGGTGTATTTTTTCGTTTTTCAGATGTTCAATGATGGTGGAAGTCATGAAAGAAATGTCTGTCAACATCGAGAGAAAAGGTAAGATATTAACCCGGCACAGAATACTTACACACATTATCATGATTACACGTCTTAGACGTCTGCGTTTTTGGCTTTAGTCATTCAAAAGAAACACTAACTCTCACTGATCGTTAGAAATTTGATTGACAAAAGGCAAACTCCAATTATAACTAGCCGTTAATTTTGTGCGGGCATTGGGGGGAGGGGGGTGGATTGCGTATGGGGGGGTGGGGGGGGGGTCTTGAATTCCATATATTTTACGTGCCCCCTTCCCCCCCCCCCCCCC